TTTTAGTTGTAATATAACTACACTAATGAAATTTTAGATATGTGGAAATATTATAAGCTAGATACTCAGTTCTTAGTTTATTACGTACTTAGTTAAACAATCTACAGAAGTCCTCAGATAAAGTCCGCCTCCATTAATGTCAGAATGTTTTATTTATGTTACGAAACGTTTAAAGAGGTTTATTCTATAAAACATCAGAAAATAAAGAAAAATTTCCAACGTAGTTTCCCGGAGTCAAAGGTCTCCAAATGTCTGGTTTTATCACACCAACAATATTTAGTTTACAATGATACAACAGATAAAAGCAACAAATCCTCACATTTGAGAAGCTGCAACCAGAGAATCTGGTCGATTAATCAACTAATTGTAGCAGATCTAGTATTGATTAAACTTAATGATCATTTTGGATGACACTATACAGGGAGAGCTGTTTTAATATAGTGACTCTATCCTCTAATAAAAATGCTGTTCACAAAATATTAAAAGCACCACAAACTACAGCTTCTGAAATAAAGTTAAATCACTAAACACTGTACGTGTCAAGGTAGAGTTCATTACACAGCTATTGTTTTACACTGCATTAGTTTTAGGTGGAAGATAAAACTCACCTCACTCACATGAAATCCTCTTTTGTATTTGTCGTGCAGCTTCATTAAGTACAGTTTGCCCTTTTGAGCAAAACTCAAATTCTGATCTCAGCTGTTAATTTGACTGCCACAATTCAGTTTATAAAACAAAAAACAGCACTTACGTAATAACTCAAGGTTATTCTTCGTCCTGAATAATTCTCAAACAGACTCCGGGATGAACACTGTTATTCAGTTGGATGCTTTATCCTCACAGGTATGAGAGAGGAAGCAGGGATGTATTAACAGCGGGCCACTCAATGAAAGCAGTTCACTTGATTGGCTGCGTTGTTACTTAGAAAAGACTCTTAAATTACCCATAATACACTACAAATTACTCCTTCTTGAGACAGTCGAGAACCAGACAGCCTTGTGGAGCTAAGTGTCTATTTGAAGTCTCTTTGTTAGCTCTCAGCCGTAGTCACAGTCTGCCTTTGTGCTCCTGCTGCACGTCCCTCTGTTTGAATGCATGAGCTGGATGCACATTATGTTTAGGAGCAGCTTTGGTAACATGCATTTATTTCCTGTTGTCTGCCACCCATCATGTATGTCACCTGCACTGATTACACTTTAACAACACACTGAAAAGCTCAGCTGAACAGAGTTTAAAAACAACAACACATCATGCAGTTAATAAACAGACAAGCAGAAGATGCCCCCACACATCCATATGACCCCCCCCCACTTTGTTAGAAATCAACAGCTGGATTCCAAACACACTTTTAGTTGTCATGCTACAGGAGCTGCAGCTGTGCTCTGAACATGGAGCCGACAGTGCTGTGAGGATGTTTCACTGGTTGAAGACTTCTTCCTCTCAGACAGCACACAGACAAACATCTGCACACTCACACCGCTGGTACAGATGTGACGTTAGCTGCTAGCTAGCCACCGACGGCTGCTGGCTTACAGGAGCCGTGCGGACTGCGGGCATTGAACTCACCGCGTTTAGTTGACAGTGCAGCCTTCAAAGGTACAGTCTCTGGCCGAGCACACGGTTTCTCCAGGCCCTGAAGTTTCAGGAGCATTTTTTTGGAAATGTTCTTCCCATCTGATCTCTCCTGCAGCAGCAGACAGCGACGCGTCGCCTTTAAAAGGTTTCCAGACAGACGAGCCAGACTTCGGCCGACAGAAAATAAATAATAAATAAATAAATAATAAATAAAACATATCTGAATACAGCGTCCGTATTTCTAATATTAATGATTGTCAAATAAATAATTAAGATAGAT